CGGGCGTTCGTTGCTTTTCATGCATTTGGTTCACACGAGCTTGAAGGTTCTGCACGAAGTAGCGATTTGATTCACGTGCAACAAGCTTCTAAAACGTCTTCAGCATGAGAAACAGAAACAACTTCGACGGAGAGTCAGCCAAAGCCAAAACTTCGTTCGTGGGTCCATATTCTCCACTCTGCAATACGGGATATCTGTGATCGGGTGTAACCTCTGAGGGGTCTAGATGATATCACATACAACATCTGGTCTTGAGTACATGTTATATAATACAACACATCACATGTAACACTTACCAAACATCCACCCGTTCTTTCGGATTGCAGCCATATTGCCTTCGTTCTGAGCAATAGCCACCATCTCATTCTTGTCGAGTTCAGCGTAGTTTCGATCATCTTGCACTGCGACGCCATCAAAACGGCTTTTGAAGAGAGTTACCGATCCTTCAAAGACTTCTGTGAATCGGATAGCCCGGGCGTGCTGGTGTGTTTTGATAAGAATTGGAAATCGTGTGTCAATATGTGGGCGAGTTTTGCTCGTGGTCGATATTTCAGTGCCGGGAACACCACAACGAACCGTGTGAAGCCAACTGGAACCAGTTGAAAATGCTCCTGGGCTATCGGCCAGGTTTAGACAAGACAGTCGCGGGAATTTTGCGTCATCAAGTCGCTGTTTTACGTCAATTTACTTCGGATCTGAGTCGATATGCGTCCAAATCACGCCCTGTTGGCGCTGTGCCTCGTTTTCTTCGTCATCTTACAAGTGTTCTCAGCGAATATGCATATCAGCGCATGCGACGTGAGTGGGATCTTTTGAATACGGTTATGAAGTCGGCTCGCTGTACAAAATCTGATAAAGAACGGAAGTGGAATGTTTATTCGAACTCCCACGTATACATTTGTGACGATATCCAACGGACATGCACATGTATTTTCCATTCCAGTATTAAACTGACATGTCGACAGCTCCTCCTCATCGCCCGTGGTGGACTTCAATTGGCAGAATTTTCTAAATCTGCTGTATTTCAGCGATGGAGTGTGAATGCTGGCCCTGACCTATATGATGGTTTTGTGATGGAGTAAAATCTATATCTACGGGATTGGAAACTGTGAAACCTTACAACACAAAAAATCATAGGGCATCGCCTTCGGACACCGCAGAACAAACTGATGGCGAGACTTTGACTCGGATTCCAGCGGGTCGCAAATGCAAGCAAAGTCGGGTGGAGTTTTTTAAAACTGAGACGCAATGAAAGAGCTATCTGGTGGTTCCTGCATCGACAGAGAAGTACCAATATGCTCTCGCCACCCTGGAGCCTCTGCTCAATCAACTCTCGAACTTGTCGTCAGAAACATTTTACGAGCAGCTAGCTCGTTGGGACCACTTACTTTCAAGTTGTAGCACTATTGCCGATAAAAGTGCTAATCACGATAGGAATCTTGAAGACCAACCCGAAACGATGGAACAAAATGATTCTAAAAACTCATTTTACGACTTATTTGAGGTTGCCCCTGCCGCCGACGACACGATCGGGGATGTAGATGCAGGTACACACCCGCGGTACGTATCACACGATGTGTCCATTGTTCCACAACCATCTCCCGCCTGCGCTGCCCCTCCACAGACGAACATCAACAGAGAACTGGCAACCTTCACAAAATTACCGGCCGTGAAAGCATCCTCAAACAGCAAGAATATTGATGTTTTAAGGCTCCCCGCCATAAAACCTAGAAACACAACCCGAAAGACCAAGATGCAAACGAAGCTCGTACCTGCAGATCGTACCGCCGTTATATTCTGGCCGGGTATATCAATATTGCTGTCGGATCTTCTTCGGTGGGCCAAAGTCACGCCTAATATCCGCCTTGTTAAGGCTACATTGAATGCAAACCCGAAGGCAATGAGTGATCGAATTTTAATTGGACGTGAGCCATTATGTCGTCGAGAATCAGTTGATCAAGCTGATTTCGACTACAATTTTGTGGTGCCTTTGGAATTAGTGAGGACTATGGAGCGAGTATTAATTGAAGAAAAGCGTCATGACCGACGCATTAAAAGTCTGCTACAGCCACTAGATGTATCCAAGAGTACCACCGAGATTGTGGTGCGCTACGGCAAGCAATTGAAAGAATTCAGAAGGTGCGTAACATTTTTGTTTCGGTCGAGTTACAACTTGGCTGTTGTAGATTTTCTAATACCGTTTCATTTCTTATGCATTGATGTAGCCGAGCCGTATTTCGCCAGACTAATTTTTACGCAATCTCTCAACTCTGTTCATCTTGGGAGAAAGACATGACGTGGCTATGCTTGTCTTGGAGTTCAATGCTAGTTGACGACGTTGAATTGTTTGGCAAGGAGACGACTGTGAATATCGATCGAATTGGGGGGGGGGGGCGTGAAAAAGGCTGCGCTGATGATATACCGCAGAAGTATAAGACTGTAGCATTGCAAGCAGCATTTGTACTACCGTCCGGGGCGTTTACGCTTGACTCCAACAAGGTAGTTAGGGTCGTTGCCCGTGACTGATTCCTCTCCGATACAATGCTTCTGATGTGCCTTCAGGCGACGTGCGATATGCGGTTTGGATGTCGTGTATTTGATCCAAGCGCCGGGTTAAATCGCTGGCCATCGACACCAACAATTCCTGGACGACGAACAGTAACTTGAGATAAGATTTACGAAGAGCTGTTGCGGATGAAATATGTTGTGTACCCTTACAATATTGAGGGAATACATTGGACGTTGATCGTAGCCAAGATCGACTACTCGAATGGGGTTACGGTTTATTTGTACGAACCCATAGGCAGCTTTGAATTGGAGATGGAACGTGAATTTGACAACGGAATGCTACCATTTATCCAACAATGGCACAAGTATTGCTCAAGTCAGAGGGTGGAGTGAAACATAGATCATCGTGCGAGTGGGAAACCGCTTTTACCCATCCCTCGTCTTCCGACAATTAGAAAAAGAAATTGAGATTCTCAAAGCAACCCGACGGAGCCAGTTGCGGTGTCATGATACTTGGCCAAGCATACGCTATTCTGAATAACCTCTCGAGATTCAATACTAAGCGAAAAGTAACCACATCCTGCGTCAGGATCATGCGCTTGCGTATGCTGTGGATGTTAGTGTGTTATTCCAGTAAGAGAACACTACCTCCAGGGCGACACAATAGTTGTGAAGACGTACACGAGCAACTGGCCAAACGTTTTGGCTTTAAGTAATGTTTTTTTCCACTTTGAAGTTCATTGTTTTTACCAAATCAGTTGAACGACAAAATTCTAGTCGAAGAGCGTTCACATCAAAATTTATCATTATTATCTCTTATAAAGATAATTTATCGGTATTAATTAATACATAACGGTGATATACGCTTGGAGTCGATTACTTATGACATTATCGGTGCCTAACGGTGCTATACGCTTGTCGTGTGTCGTCGTTATCGGTGCCTTACAGTGCTTTACTTTTGACGTGGTGTCGTCATTATCGGTGCTGTAACGCGAGTCATCTCCATTCTAAAAACCTATTTTCAAGACAATTATTACGTTTAACTCGAATTTTCACCAAACTGTGCTTTGCACACTAAGACTAATTTTTG